ACGGTGTGAAAATAATCATCCATACACAGGTTTTAAACTGGAAACATTCCGAGACCGAACGACAACACAATGACGAAAATCTATACTATGAGTAAGAATCAGACACCGATCTACTCTTACAAAAGTAACCGTTACACCTGAACGCATGGTATCGAAACGTGATATAAATTTGGGTGTTTCGTTACTAAGAAACCGTAGCTTCCAGATTTATTTATTTCTTTTAGGAATTGGAAACAGAAGGTGATTTAACTTCTAGCGCCCCTTTAGCTGCCGATGAGGAAACCAGTTTCCGTATTACATAAATGAACACTTTCTAAGATAACCGTTCCTTTTGCTATTTAGGTAGTAAGGTTACACAAGATAATCGTTGCAAGGAAGATATAAAATCCAGGATAGCGCAGGGTAAAAAAGCATTGGAATAAAAGTGGGACCTGCTAAGATCCGAGATAAATATAGGAATTAGGAAAAGATTGCTAAAAACGTACAAATGGAGTGTAGGTCATACAGGTGCGAAACCTGGATGATAGGCAGGCAAAAGTAGGATAGAATGAGGATTAGCTGGATGGATAGGGTAACAAACGAAGCAGTCTTGGAGCTAGTACAGGAAATAGGGAAATGTGGAAAACCGTACCGAGAAGACGAGATAGAATGATAGCGAACGTGCTAAGACACGGAGGAATAGCACTAATAGCTATAGAAGGTAGGGCAGAGGGCAAGAGAGGGGTAGCACACCAAATAGTTAAGGACGTAGGCCAGGGTAGTTATGTATTATAGAACTGAAAAGATTAGCGCAGGATAGGAAAAGGTGGAAGAGTGCGTCCAACCAATCCTAGGATTGCGCAAACAAAACAACAACAAATGCCGAAAACGTGAAAAATCCAGGTTGGGGGTGATTTTCCTAAAAAGCTCGAATTTTCAAGGGCTTCTTTATGTGCGGAATTATGTTTTTACTCCAAATACACATTAAAACAAACATTTTGACACCTTAGCAACGAGAATCAGACCATTGGTTCATTGGTTTTGCTCAAAACTCGAGAAATCGAGTTTAGGGGTAGTTTTTTTAAGATGGCGTCCGTTCCCCAACCGGGATCTTTTGGGACTTTTCGGAAATTGGTTCTGGCACTATCCTGAACATGTCTGCCAATTTTCAGCTTGTTTTTTCAAATTTCCGGGTTTGGCCCTTATTTTGTCTAATTTTACTGGACTATCCGTGACTTCCCCATCTCTATCTCCGCACTCTCTACATCGATCTTCTCTCCCTTTAATTTTATATAGTGTGTCCAGATGGAACGCACCATACGGAAAACGGCAATGTACGTTTTTCACGAAGGGTTCACGAGGCCTTAGAAATTAGCCGGTTCAACGTGGTTGACTACTTCAATCTCTTTTCTTAGCATCAGACAAGCGCAATTAACGTACGTGACACGCTAAACTTCAAATACATATCCAAACCCGCCTCTTGGATCCTTCCGTGGCCACTCTCCATTTACTGGAAAGCTGGAAGTCTCTCCGGATGGTAAGCGTACTTTGGTTTTCTATTTGTTAAGTATATAACTATTTTTATAGTTTATCTGCTTTTACAATATACCTGTTACATCGACCTTTGTAATTCTTCCAAACGAATTAAATTACATTTTTATATTATCCTGTAGCGAATATTTCAGACATTTCGGTATGATATCGCAGGGCATGAAAAAGATTAGTCATTCCGCGAATCAAGAACGAAGGCGGATACCTGACACCAAATCTTTCATTTTTTTTTTTTTTTTAATAAATTTATTGCCAGATCAACAATCATAAGTTTGTTATACATAGCAGTGATAAGATTCAGTATGACTGTGTATCGTGACTTAGAGAGACTAAGTAGCGGTCCCTAGGAAAGTTAACCAATAATAAGTTAATCTTCTTCGTCGCCTGATAAAATAACGTCTTGGGGTAACCTGCGTTTGAGTCTGGTGTGGATATTTGGTTGAAATAGTTCATAGAACACCGCACCACTGCACGCACTTGAGTTAGTAATAAACTTTTTGGCACATTTATTAATATATTCTTGGATAGGCATTACTCCTAACTCTAAATGTAGCTGGGTGTTCCTAATATACCATGGTGCGTTGACAGCGGTACGCAGCACCTTTTTTTGGAATCGCTGCAGTTTTTGCATATTTGTTTTAGATGTGTTGCACCAAACCGGTGAAGCGTATAATGCTAAAGGTCGTAATAAGCTCTTGTATAGTAAGACCGTACATTCTATTTTTAGGGTTGATTTTCTGTTTATTAGCGGGTAGAGTTGCTTTAGCCTATTATAACTCTGAATTAATTTTTGGTTTATATGGTACTTCCAGCTTAGTCGGGTGTCTAAATGTACTCCTAAATATTTAGCGGCTGAGTCTTTGTCCATCCAGGATATTACTTTACTATTGACATGAATACTAGGAGTATCGTTGATTCTTCGTAATGTAAACACCTTGGCTTGGCATTTATCAGGATTTATTTGGATACTCCATTTTTTAAACCAGGCACACAGATTATCAATAGCTACTTGCAGTACTATTACTGCCTCGTTTAGGTTTGTAGCTTGAGTAAAAACGGCCGTATCGTCGGCGAAGGTAGCTAGTGTTGCGTTAATTTCAGGAGTGTCGGATGTGTATAGATTAAAGAGTAATGGACCCAGGATGCTGCCCTGTGGAACTCCGGCTCGGATATTTTTAATGTCAGATAACGTCGAATGGACTTTGACTTCAAAGCTTCTGTTTTCGAGAAAGGAGAAGATGATGGCTTTGAGATAAGAGGGTATGCTAATTTTTAAGATTTTAGTTTTTAAGCCTTCAGCCCACACACGATCGAAGGCCTGCGCGACATCTAGAAATACTGCTGCAGTGTACTGCTTGTTTTCAAATCCTCGTTCGATATGTTCGCTGATCCTTTGTAATTGATGATAGGTCGAGTGATTTTTTCTGAATCCGAATTGAAAGGTGGGCAGGACATCTAAATTTTGGATGCTGTCGATTAACCGTTCGTAAATAACCTTTTCTAGCAATTTCGATAACGTTGTCAGAAGACTTATTGGTCTGTAGTTGTTTATTTTCTTTTTGTCTTTGCCTGGTTTCGCAAACATTAGGACATGTGCGTGTTTCCATGACTGGGGGAAATAGCCATATTTCAAGCAGGCGTTGAATATTGAACTGAGCGAGGCTAGGGTTTTTGCTGTTAAGTGCTGAAGTATGGAGTTGGTAATAAGGTCATGACCGGGAGATTTCTTTTTAGGTAGTTTGTCTATTAGGCTCTTTAGTTCTTTGGGGGAAGTTGGTNGTAATGTGATCGTCATTTACGCCTACGTAGATTTTTGCTTTATCTTCAAGCCATAAAGAAATTCAATCTTTCGTAAAGTAGGAAGTAGGTCAGCGAAGAGAGAATTTTCCTGATTTTTCTGTGCGGAACTGCCGACTGCCCAGTGCCGAATTAGTTCCGATGTAGTATTTTTTGAATGCGTTTCTAGTCTATAACTTTTGATTGAGAAGTCTGATCGAAGAAGTATGAATTGTTTTGGATTCTACGCACCAAAATTAATAAGAAAAAGTGTTTTCCCGAGAAATTTTGGTGCAGTCGATTTTTGGCAAAAAAGGAAGGTTATACACTGCCTTTTTTTGAGCCCCGAAAAAAAAATTGTCTCAGATCGACCCGGAAAAAATTTTTCTTATAGAATGTGGCCTGTAGAATCCATAATTTCAAACAGTTCCAAGATTGGGCTACTAGTTCAAAAGTTACAGCCCTTTGAATTTTCTTTCGAAATTGGTTTCTAGTCTATAACTTTTGATTGAGAAGTCTGATCGAAAAAGTACGAATTGTTTTGAATTCTGCGCACCAAAATTAACAAGAAAAAGTGCTTTCCCGAGAAATTTTGATGCAGTCGATTTTTGGAAAAAAGGAAGGTTATACACTGCCTTTTCTTTTGCCCCGAAAAAAAAATATCATTGTATATAATATACATCTTTATTATATACAATGGTAATATGGATGGAATTGATCTTTTCTCTCACAAATACACTATACTTACACCACTCCCACATTAGTAAATTGCGCAAAAGGACCTTGTTTGCGTAAATTCCACACAAAATTGCTAAAACAGTGTTAAAACGGTCTACGTGTACCGCTAATCCAACAAAAACGTTAGAAATTATACGCATAATCAGTTATATTTTCTCACTGTACCTATTTAATTTTCATTGCTAGCTAAATTCAAATAAAGTTTGTAATTGGGTAATTGGGTAAGGCGTTAAAATGATAAGATAAATAGGTCTATGGCCTGAAAGAATTAAAAGACTCCTTGCATCGGAAGCATAATATCACATTCCGGTGATTAAATATAATGCTGACAGTATCATGGTCTGTGTCTGGTGCAAAGTAATGACGTAATTCAAATCTCAACTTTGTTGTCAGTATATTTAAAAATTAAATAGGTAATACAGGTTACATGCTGCTATATGGTAATACAGCGATACAACAGCTTTGAAGAACACTTCCTTACCAGATTTTCTACTGCAACAATATCCTATCCCATGACACCTCTTTATATTATATTATTTACTCTATGGTTAAAATTGAGGGTTGTTTATGGTGTCTTATGTGGATCGCACTTCAATATCCATTAATTTTAAAGTGACAGAAAATAAGTCTTACTTTTCTTCAGTTAAATACATCGCACATGACCGAAAATATCAAAAATGGAAGCAAAATTTTCATTTGTTTTAAGACGTTATTTTAGTTGCATAAAATTAGGCATCCTTCAGCAGAGTGTTTATCATTTAAAACTAGACATAGGAAATCTCTATGTCTACTTCTAAATGAATATCACTGTATATCAGAAACTTCAGATGAGAATATTTCTATACTGGTAATGCTCGTTTTAATTTTTGTGGTATTTAGTAAGTAGGCTACATCACTTCATACATTTCCACTATTATTGCATTGATCTTGTAGTAAGTAGTACATTTTACTCAATTAGGACTAGCTCCCCAAGTGGTTACATCGACACCAATCAAATCGCAGGCGGCAGCAGCCCTGGAAGTAGTCGACCCAGTGGCACAGTTGAAACAAAACGTCAGCGACACGCTGACGTTCTTGCACAAGGAACGAAACGACTTTCTTCCGCTGGACGACATAATCATACCTAGCAGAAAGGACGATCACGTCGCGAAAGAAATAGATCTGAGCAGTGAGAGTATTAAGAAGAGGAAAGTCGTCGACTTGGATAATGTGCGGGCGTCGGCCGAGAGCGAGGTGGACAAAGTGATCGAGGCTGCAGAAACCGCCGTCAACGAGGTTGTCGGTCCCACCGAACAATTTATGCCAAGCAAAGCCCCGATAGGGTGTCAAATGCGTATGGCAAGGCCAGACGAGGAGGACGCGATCGCTGTCTGCGAAGACATGCACGAAGCCAAACGTTTACCGAACTCGTCGCAATTTCTCGACAACGAAATACGCGCGATTAACCTCAACAGCGCAGCCGCAAAGATCGAGGCCGCAGAAACCGCCGTCAACGAGTTTAAGGTCAGGCCAACCGAACTATTCAAGCCAAGCAAAGCCCCGATAGGGTGCCAAATGCGTATGGTAAGGCCGGATGAGAACATTGACGCTGTCGCCATCTGTGAAGAACTATACTCGCCCGACAAACAAAACGCCATACTCGAAGCGCAAGAGGTTTTCAAATTCCTAGAGAACGAAGCCACGCCTACCAGTCTACCGAACTCCTCCCAATTTCTCGAAAACGAAATACACGCGATTAATTTCAACAGCGCAACCGCAAAGAGTAGCGGTATTCCGGTTCCAAAACCGCGTCAGAAGATCGCCTTTAGCGATGCGGAACGCGAAGCGGAGCCCGCGATTTCCGACGGTGAACGATCGATTTCGCCCGACGAATTTCTAAGTAAAATTCCCGTCTCGGGCAAGGGGAAAGTGAAGACGATCAAGAAACATTCGAAGGATCCGCTAAAGGAATTCGTTAAACTTACGCAGGACGTCAATTGGGATGACGATCAAGCGGTTACGACTACAGATCCGATCGTCAAAACCACAGTCACTCGAATTACGATGCCTGACGACGCGAAAACCGGCACAGAGTACGTAGAAGTCTCCAAAAGTAAGATACCCGTCCTGATGACGGAGTCTACACGAATTTTGCCACCGGACTCGACACCTGCCCAAGTTGACATGACACTGGTATCGCCGGGGTCGGACACGAAGTTCTCAACGAAGAGCAAAAGCAGTACGCTCGACTCCGACTCGGACAGCGACAGCAGAAGGAGTTCCCCACTGAAAGGAATATTGAAAAAGTCCGGCTTGAAATTGGTTGGTAGCTCTAGCGGATCGGATATCGCACTACACGAAGCCGGATCCGAATTAAGTGAGGACGAATCAGGTAACACCCGTCTTTGTTTGACCGTTCTGTTTGTGCTTGTACTATCTTTCTCTGTTTAGAGATTATAGTTTAGTAGTCTATGCATGCTGTGCTTTAATGCGCGCGTTTTACAGTAATAATAATAAATTAAATTGAGGCACTCAAAATTCAAATTCACCGTTGACTCCTTTTTTGCCAATTTGACGTTCTGTAAGTTATCCAAACTGAAGGAAATTTGCAACTAGAAATTGTTTGCAATATGAAACAACAGACGGACAAGAAAACTCACGGAAAAGACTAAAAATGCCGTAATCTTTTTCTGGCAATTCCGCTTATCCAATGTTGTATTAGTAAGTGGTAGAGGATAGGCGTCACGTTGCTTTCCTTGTGATAGTATGTGTTTTTGAGAAAAATTTCCAATTCCAATTGAATTTATCGACATTGAGGAGAAAGCAATTAAAGAAAATTGAGTGCACTCAAAATTCAAATTCGCCGTAATCCTTTTTTGCCAATTTGACGTTCTGTAATTATCCAAACTGAAGGAAATGCAACTAGAAATTGTTTGCAATATGAAACAACAGACGGACAAGAAAACTCACGGAAAAGACTAAAAATGCCGTAATCTTTTTCTGGCAATTCCGCTTATCCAATGTTGTATTAGTAAGTGGTAGAGGATAGGCGTCACGTTAGCTTTCCTTATGATAGTATGTGTTTTTGAGAAAAATTTCCAATTCCAATTGAATTTATCGACATTGAGGAGAAAACAATTAAATAAAATTGAGTGCACTCAAAATTCAAATTCGCCGTAATCCTTTTTTGCCAATTTGACGTTCTGTAATTTATCCAAACTGAAGGAAAAACAACTAGAAATTGTTTGCAATATGAAACAACAGACAGACAAGAAAACTCACGGAAAAGACTAAAAATGCCGTAATCTTTTTCTGGCAATTCCGCTTATCCAAGGTTGTATTAGTAAGTGGTAGAGGATAGGCGTCACGTTAGATTTTTCTTGTTTTTTTTTTGAAAAAAATTTCCAATTTCAATTGAATTTATCGACATCGAGGAGAAAATAGGCCAATACAACTAGCTCTCTGGTGTGTCCTAGGGCGCCGAAATGATGACGACTTGACACTTGACTTGATGCAATCTGTCAATTTCTGTATTCAATATAAAAATATAAAAAAAAATGTATGTGGTCTTCACCTCTAATGAAGAATCTTTGCAACTTTAGGGCCGACTTAATATGGCAAAACAGTTGAATGGCAAAACAAGAAAGATCCTGTTAATGTCTTTTATTCCAATTTACCCTGTTCGGTTGTCGACACCAGCTGGTTTAGGCCAATGAAGCATTAATTGTGTCCTTACGATTTATTACTTTAAGCGTTCGAAAAGACAAATCACATTTTCTCTGCACACATTGGACATACATTTTTTTTAGTTCGAAAGACGAGGTTAGTCGAGACATATTCAATATTCATTTTTTTTTTTTGACTTAACATTGCTACAACGTTTAATATCGATTTAATTTATCTCGCGCTCGAGAATTAATAAGCGCCTAGAAGATTTCTGCCAAAATGACCAGCCGCAGTTTACGGAGACGACGGTGGAGGAAGTTGATCCTGTGACGGGTGCTAAGTAAGTATTTTCGTGGTGTAGCAAACCTAGCGAAATTACTGTTAATTACTTGAAACTCGTTTTGGTCCCCTCTACCGCTCATTTTTCAGCACCCAGGACCCTTGTAACCAAAGTAATTAAACTCGAATGAGTTACACATTTTTTTAGGATTCATATCCACTCCCATATATTCTCGCAATCTTTGATTGAATACACAACGTCCACAATATTTATCGTCACAGGGCGAATTGCTTTCAATTTTGCTTACTGCCACGCCAACTAACAATGCAAGGGCGGCATCCTCCCCCTTGTACTGTTAGTCGCTAATTGTGCTGTCATTTTTCAACTTGGAACACCATTCGTTTACGACATTTTCATTTGCAGGATTACAAGGACGACACGCACTGTAACCCAATCGACGACAATGCCGGGCGCTCAAAACGAGAGCGACCTGCGTCAGTCGATCAAGGAAGTTCTCGATCAGTTCATGTCGCACGAACGATAAGACCGATTTCGGAGTCGCCGGTACACTATAGCTTTACTACAAAACGAATAGTGATCTTTATGAACCAATCAGTGCTGTTAATTTAATTAAAATGCACCCCTAGGAATCGTATCGCAATAATATATTTTCATTATTTGTATCTTTCTAATTTTATAGCGGTGATCTATTTAAGTGAGGTTAGGTGAACGGGAATGGGACGCTCTTTCGTAATTTTACCAATTAACAAATAAAAAAAAATAGAGAGGAAGGTGCATTTTAATTTATCGGAATTAGTTTCTATATATAACTATACTCTGTGCCTAGAATTTTGTTTATTCCAAATATTGCTTTAGTATTAATTAAGGTTTTAAACTTTTTAAGATATGTATAGTACTTCTCCGAGCTTAATTCTCTCTATCTATCATGCATGACATAATAATTGTTTCTGTTCAGTTGAAATTTGAAATTTTATCAAAGTTACAGAATATACAGTAATATATTTAAAATATACAGAAGTAATAATATATGATTAATAGTTATATTAATAAATTACAGAAACGATTGCTTTTAGATGAGGAGTTAAAAAATAAATGTTTGTGGTGTAGTAACTTACTTTTCAATTCCCCTTTTTTTCATGAAAATTGCAAGTTCCAACTTTCGAATGGGAAGTCCCAGAACCCAGAGAAAATGGAAAAGCGCAAAGTACCTAATTGGAAAGAAATAAGAACGCTTGAGGAAGGAATTATTTTTATTGTGATACTCACTCGCACAAAACAAAACATACAGGTAAAATACTAATTTCTAAAGACAATATTTAACTTTTACCCTCGCTAGTGTCGATGTGAGTAATTGGTATGGCACGTTTCTCCGCCTGTTCGACTTTGTTGGGGGCGGTTATGGTAAGTATTCCATCTGCCGACAAAACCAACTCGACCTTCTTGACCTCGTGCCCCTTTAGGAATGACGAATTTTCTGTAAAATTTCTGCAAATAAAATTTATCACTTGCAATTTATAAAATGAACTCAACTGCATCGAACTGACTGACTGACTGAAAGTCGCCACAATTCGCTCTAGAAAGATTCCGAATGTTCTTCACTAAATACGACATGTTTCCCGGAAAGATTGCGTCACATCCGCCCTCGCTCTTATCCCTACTAAGGGCGCCTCTATGTCTATCTCTTGCTGGAATATTCGCTACAATATCAAAGAAAACTGAAATGATCTAGTATCCGATCCTATAAATTTGGCAAGAAACCTGTCAAAGTATTTGTAGAGAAAGCACTTCTAAAGGAGGCAGTTAATGGGAAAAAGTGTTCTTTTAAGATGTTTCAATTGTACTCAAAGAAAAGGGATTGAAATAAAAACACTTGGTCAAGGAATATTTTTATTCTGGCCCCCGCTCTTACACATAATAAAACTTAGGTACTAATTTCCAAGACCAAAAGTTAATTTTTTCCTTCGCGTGTATCGACGTGGGTAATCGGTATGGCACGTTCCTCCAACTGCTCGACTTTGTTGGGGGCGGTTATGGTGAGTATTCCATCCGCTGACAAAACCGACTCGACCTTCTTCATATCGTGCCCTTTAGGAATGACGAATTTTCTGTAAAATTGTCTGCAAATGTGCCCATTCTCGTCGCTCTTCTCGTGCTTGGCCTCCACAACGATCGCGTTTCCGTCGATGGCCTTGATTGTAATTTCTTCCGGTGAAAAATTCTCCACGTCCAGTTTCACTTGGAATTTGTCGCGATCTTGAATGACCGATTCTTTTCCATCGCCCGCCTCCAACGGATTTCGTCCACGAGGAATCGCCTGATACACGAGAAATGGGAACAGTTCTTCCCCCAATCGCATTTGGTGTTCCATCATACGAAGTGGTCTCGCCACGTCTCGGAAAAGTAGCGGTAATAAAGACATTTTCACAATTCGCGCAATGTGTAGCAACTGCAAGAGTCTGCGATGATTTGAATGTGAGCGGGACTCCTGTGTATTTATACTGATCTTGCTTCCCCCACGCATGCGTTGGAATTTTCTAGAAAAGTTCGGACGCATTCAATTCCCATGGAACAATCCAGAACATACTAGAATGTACGAGGTGACTCATTATTGTGTACCAATGGTTTGCATATATCGCAAGAGACGAAAGGCGTTTTAGCATTTTCATTTTTGTTATTTACGCAGATAAACAAAAATTTCGTTACGTTAACCAATTTTAATTTACGTTATTTATTAAGCAAAAATCCTCTCCTCCACCTTTTCTAATTCGTCCAGCTCCCCCAATTTCGATGTTTACAATCTCGTAACTTTTCCGTAATACCCGGGGGTCTGGGGGTGTATGGAATGCCCCCTCCCCTCCAGCAGACGAAGGTATATCCATATTTTAAAAAACTCCCACAGCTTTTAAAGGTCTTGTAGAAGCTTTTACAATTTCTTACAAAAATGATGGCACAAAGTAAATTAGCGCGCTTCCAATCACACTGCACACATCCTAATCAGACGCCGGTTTTTGTAACACATCTAATTAGCTACCGCGGTATTGCGGCACTTGACCATTCTAAAATTCTGGGCACCGTAGGAAAATTGTCCGCCTAATTTTCGCAGATGGCCAAGGGTGCGAGGACATATTTCGGTAGTTGGTCCGGGGTGCAAGGTGAAATATTGGCTGTGGCAGGTTCAAAATAGCATCAAAGATGGTGGGGTCAAAATGGCATCCAAGATGGCGACTCAACTGACGAAATATAGCTGAGACCAATATGAGTCCGACACATCCATAAAATTCAAGAATCGGAAGAATTCGAAGAAAGTGGTGGATTTGAAGAATTCTAAGAATGAAAGACAGGTAGAATTATAAAAACCTGAAGAATACGAAAAGCTTTTAGAATATATAAAATTTTTAAAAATTTGAAGAAAATTGAGAATGTGGGGGATGTGATGAAACCTCATATTTCTGAAGAATCGATCAGATTCAAATAAATAATAGGATTCACAAGAATCTGAAAAAATTGAGAAGAAGCCAAATTGAAGACAACTGAAGGATTCGAAGAGACAGAAGAAAGAACTTCAAAACCCCAAACATTTGCATGTGTAGAATCCCCAGTAAAAAATCAAAATGTGGAACGTTTCAATCGAAAAGAATCTGAAGCGTGAAGAATTTGACGAGTGAGTCAGACGAATTCGAAGAGTTGAAAGAATCTGAAAATTCTAAAAATGTTGAAAAATCCTAGGCATTCCACGGGTCCGAAGAATCTGAAAAATTGTAAGAAACGTTTCAAAAACTTGAAGAAGTCGCAGAAACAGAAGAGTAAAAAAAATGTGGAGCGAATTGAAAATCTCGCCATCTTCCCAAAACTTAGAACCTATAAAAATGTCTGGAAATTCTTTGAAAGCCTTTCTTTGATGATATAGATTTTCAAAATCCTTTTAACACTTCAGGGGTACCTGATACCTTTTCTAGAGCTATCAAGCGTTCTGTGCACTCCTCAGAGATACATAAATCTCAATATACCTGAGAAGGGTCTAGAATGTTCTCAAAATGTTGTAACGTAAATTTAATTAGGTACGTGGTTTTATTTAATACAACTAATTAACAATAAATTTATAATAGATTAATTTATAACATTAAAATTTATCACTTGCAATTTATAAAATTAACTCAACTGCATCGAAGTTGGAACTGACTGAAAGTCGCCAACATTCGCTCTAGAAAGATTCCGAATGTTCTACACTAAAGACGACATGTTTCGCGAAAAGATTGCGTCACATATCCGCCCTCGCTCTTATCCCTACTGATGGCCCCACGATGTATATCTCTTGCTGAAATATTCGCTACAATATCAAAGAAAACTCCTGAAACGATTTAGTATCCGATCCTATAAATTTGGCAAGAAACCTGTCAAGTACTTATAGAGAAGCACTTCTAGAGGAGGCACTTAATGGGAAAAAGGGTGTTCTATGTTTCAGTGAACTCAGAGAAAAGGGATTGAAATAAAAAGACTTGGTCAAGGAATATTTTTATTCTGGCCCCCGCTCTTACACATAATAAAACTTAGGTACTAATTTCCAAGACCAAAAGTTAATTATTTCCTTCGCGTGTATCGACGTGCGTAATTGGTATGGCACGTTCCTCCACCTGTTCGACTTTGTTGGGGGCGGTTATGGTGGGTATTCCATCCGCTGACAAAACCGACTCGACCTTCTTCATATCGTGCCCTTTAGGAATGACGAATTTCCTGTAAAATTGTCTGCAAATGTGCCCATTCTCGTCGCTCTTCTCGTGCTTGGCCTCCACAACGATCGCGTTTCCATCGATGGCCTTGATTGTAATTTCTTCCGGTGAAAAATTCTCCACGTCCAGTTTCACTTGGAATTTGTCGCGATCTTGAATGACCGATTCTTTTCCATCGCCCGCCTCCAACGGATTTCGTCCACGAGGAATCGCCTGATACACGAGAAATGGGAACAGTTCTTCCCAATCGCATTTGGTGTTCCATCATACGAAGTGGTCTCGCCACGTCTCGGAAAAGTAGCGGTAATAAAGACATTTTCACAATTCGCGCAATGTGTAGCAACTGCAAGAGTTTGCGATGATTTGAATGTGAGCGGGACTCGCCTTCCCACCATGCGTTGGAATTTTCTAGAAAAGTTCGGACGCATTCAATCCCATGGAACAATCCAGAACATACTAGAATGTACGAGGTGACTCATTATTGTGTACCAATGGTTTGCATATATCGCAAGAGACGAAAGGCGTTTTAGCATTTTCATTTTTGTTATTTACGCAGATAAACAAAAATTTCGTTACGTTAACCAATATTAATTTATGTTATTTATTAAGCAAAAATCCTCTCCTCCACCTTTTCTAATTCGTCCAGCTCCCCCAATTTCGATGTTTACAATCTCGTAACTTTTCCGTAATACACGGGGGCCTGGGGTGTATGGAATGCCCCCTCCCCTCCAGCAGACGAAGGTATATCCATATTTTAAAAGACTCCCACAGCTTTTAAAGGTCTTGTAGAAGCTTTTACAATTTCTTACAAAATGGGGGACAAAGTAAATTAGCGCGCTTCCAATCACACTGCACACATCCTAATCAGACGCCGTTTTTTGTAACACATCTAATTAGCTACCGTGGTATTGCGGCACTTGACCATTGTAAAATTCTGGGCACCGTAGGAAAATTGTCCGCCTAATTTTCGCAGATGGCCAGGGGTGCGAGGACATATTTCGATAGTTGGTCCGGGATGCAATCAAATATTGGCAATTGGTCTGGGGTACGAGATCGTACATTTCGGCAGTGGTCGGGGGTGCTATATTTCGGCAGATTAATGGAAAGAAATAAAAACGCTTGAAGAAGGAATTATTTTTTATTATGATTCACTTGCACAAACAAAACGTACAGCTAGACGGTACCTCGCTAGTGTCGACGTGCGTAATTGGTATGGCACGTTCCTCCACCTGTTCGACTTTGTTGGGGGCGGTTATGGTGGGTATTCCATCCGCTGACAAAACCGACTCGACCTTCTTCATATCGTGCCCTTTAGGAATGACGAATTTCCTGTAAAATTGTCTGCAAATGTGCCCATTCTCGTCGCTCTTCTCGTGCTTGGCCTCCACAACGATCGCGTTTCCATCGATGGCCTTGATTGTAATTTCTTCCGGTGAAAAATTCTCCACGTCCAGTTTCACTTGGAATTTGTCGCGATCTTGAGTGACCGATTCTTTTCCATCGCCCACCTCCAAGGGATTTCGTCCACGAGGAATCGTCCGATACACGAGAAATGGGAACAGTTCTTCGTCCAATCGCATTTGATGATCCATCATACGAAGCGGTCTCGCCACGTCTCGGAAAAGTAGCGGTAATAAAGACATTTTCACAATTGGCGCAATGTGTAGCAACTGCAACAGTTTGCGATGATTTGAAAGTGAGCGGGATTCGTCTGTATTTATAACTGTTTTTGCTTCCCCCCACGCATGCGTCGGAATTTTCGAGAATAGTTTGGACGCGTTCAATATCCACCACATACAATCATATGGAACAATCTAGAACATACGAGAACCTTTCTACGGTCTGAATAATGTAGCATTAAAGTGTGACATTTTATTTATTAATGAGATAGTGTGTTTATTTTGGGTTTGTTTTCATGTACAAAATGAGTCAACGATAGCGCGGAGTAACTTAATGCCTTGAAGATAACATTTTTCGATAGAGTGCTTTTGTATTATGATATGGTTAAATATTCTCCACATTTTAAAAATATTTGGAATTATACAGGATGCGCCCACAAAGTAGGGCGCCCAAATGGTACATTTTTTTAAATAGAACGCCGTATATTTGAATGCATTTTTTGAATTCTACGTGTAAATGTACGTCTTTTTTTGTTATATGGTTAATATCCGAAAAGCTAGTAGTTTTAAAGATAATTCGATTTTTAAGAAAAAATTGGGCATTTGCAAGCGTCAGTATATTGTCAAAATTATTACTTAAATTTTGATTCCAGGTTTTATATCTTTTATCCTGAGTTAAGTAAAAGTCAAATAAATACATCTACTATAAAACATTAAAAAATTAGCTTACAGCGTGTTTTTTTTCTACATTCACAGTTACAACTGCATATTAAAAAATCTCACTTTTTTTAACGCCCTGTATGTTTTTCTGTCATCTTTTAGCTCCTCCAAAAACCTTCAACTTTTGGAAATAATATCCTATACCTATCTCTGATAGTTTTCGAAATATCTTGGTTTTCCTGGGTTTTATATTCTAATCTTAAATAAGTTATATGTAATTTACATAATTAGTGAGGTGGCCATGCAAAAAAAGGCAATTTTTATCTGCCTCGTTCAAAGCTAAAATCATATTTATTAATTCATTTCAGTAAATCGCAATTTATCCAATGGTATATAGTCTCAACAATAATGTTTTTTGCTTTGATGTACCCAAAATAACCCAATATGATTCACACTGTCAATAAAGTTCTAGTATATTCTAGAATTTGCCAGAGGAATTGAATGCGTCCAGACTGTTCTAGAAAATTCCCGACGCATGCGCAGAAGAGAAATCAAGAGTGCTATAAATACGGACGAATCCCGCTCATATTTAAATCATTACAAACAGTCGCAGTCGTCGAACATTTCGCAAGTTGTGCAATCCGAAACCCGAAGATGTCTTTATTCCCGCTGATATTCAGGGAGATGGCGAGGCCACTTCGAATGATGGAACATCAAATGCGATTGGCCGAAGAACTGTTCCCACTGATGGCGTACCCAAGGATTCGAGACGCGAGCGATGGAAAAGAATCGGTCACTCAGGATCGCGAAAAATTCCAAGTGAAACTCGACGTGGAGAACTTCGCGCCGGAGGAAATTACGATCAAGGCGCTCAACGGGAACGCAATCGTTGTCGAGGCCAAGCACGAGAAGAACGACGAAAACGGAAGCATTTCACGACAATTGTTTAGAAAATTCGTCATCCCCAAAGGGCACGATATGAAGAAGGTCGAGTCGATGTTGTCATCGGACGGAGTACTCACCATAACCGCCCCCAACAAAGTCGAGCAGGTGGAGGAACGTTCCATACCGATTACCCACGTTGATGCTAGCGAGGGAAAAAGTTAGAATTTGTTTGTAGAAAATAGTATTTTATGTGATTGAAATAATCAGGTTTAATTATACAGTTTAAAAGGCTTCAGATTGATTTATTTACGCATCCATAAACATGTCAGTTGGAATTACCAAACTTAAGGCCCCCTTCACGTGCAGTTTTGGACTGACGCTCCTTCAGTTAAATCCAAACTCGCACGTGAAGGGCTTAAACATGCCAGGTGTGCTTCAGTTGCGGCACGGAGCGAAGAAATCAAATCGTACTAAATTCCTGGCGCGAACTGACAGCAAGATGTGAGCATGTAGATGCGGCTCAGTTCTCACATCGGGATTGACACAATATGACAAAGGTGAAGGTAGTACGCTTAAGGTGTGCAAAAGAGATAGCTTTAGTAGAATGTAATTGATGAAATTTAGAATGGGTAGTCCCGGGTAGTGCTATGTTTCCCGGGTTTCAGAGTTTGTTTGATTTATCTCCTTTAACAAATCGATGTGTGTGGATTCATTTCTTCTCAAATACCACGGTTTCGACCAATACTTTTTTCTCTTTTTCTTACTTCCCTTTCGTCGTCCACCAGCAACAAAAAAGCAATTGCTTTCCTCTCCTTCAAACTCATTCTTTAACAGCACTGTTGCACTACCAGACTCAGGAACAGAATAAAACTGAAATAAATTAAAAATCAAGCGCGAACGTGTAGATGCAACGCATGTCACACATCGGGAACGCGCGCCAGGAATTCAATCCGGGAGCGAAGATAAGAACTGCACGTGAAGGGGGGCCTTTAATCTCGATATCCTTGACACCGTGGGTCAATACATTCTTCAGTGTTTAATCTGAAATGACTTGGATCAGACTGTGTTTGTCTTGTTTATTTCTTCAGCTTGCTTCACCAAAAGGTAATTTTACCGGATCGCGAGTTCTCAACTGTCTTTTAGGCAACAACCCATTTTATGACAGCAACCGCTGTGGCTACGTACAATCGCATAGTTGGCTGGCAGTGGCTCCATGGTTGGCATCGATTCGAGCACGGGCGAGCTCGTTACTATATGTGCAGGAGTTTTAATCAATCAACGATACGTGGTGACACCGGCCGAGTGCTTGCTTAAAGAGAGATTGCCGGCGTAATTTCTCGTCGCTCTCTGCATGTGCTCACGTTAATAAATGTGATTTTAGGAGGGTCGTCCAACTGGGCATTTCCTACGGGGGAAGCAACGCGCGCATAACAGAAACGACCCTAAGAACTTTTTACCTAATCCAGAAGGAAGTCCTACACCCACTTTACGAATCGAAAGCCTCCCAACATAACATTGCTCTGCTTCGACTCAATCGATTGGTGCATTACACTGGTAAGTACAATTTTGTACAAAGCAAAACGGGCCATAAATCAGACCATATGACCAACTTTAAGAAGCTATTTTTTTTACAAGCATAAGGGGTGGATTCAAGGATGAATCGGGGCGCGTTCCAGCATCTTTCTTTTTCGATGCAAGTCTATAATTTGGCCTTGTATATCCTCTAGTTTTTAGGTCTCACTCCCTTAGGGCATCACAATATCCGTGTCTCACACTCACACGCTGACATTAAATACTCGTCTATCGTCTCACTGTGACACAGTATACCGGGTGACCCAATAAGACTGTTCCTCAGCCTATCTCGGGAACCGTTCCAACCGTTCCAAACAATCTTTCGCGCCATCGACAAATACCGGAAATACGTCAAATAAGATACAATTTAAGCATTTTTATTAATTAATTAATGAATCTCATTTTCCCAATATTTGAGGTTAGGGACGAGATATTGAAAAACGGTTTTCACTGGCCTCTTTGGGTGTATTTGGTGACTTTTCATAAAGAAAAGTCATATCATTCCATTTGATTTTTTTAAATTTTTTAGGATTTTGGATCATAGTGTCAAAACTAGCCCCCTGGAGGAGAAGGATTCAACTAAATTAACTATATTTAAAGCAGATTATTGCAAAAACAATTGAACGCCCCACACCATCTTTGTTTTTGAAATAACTGAGTTTTTGTTTTTACGAAAATGATAGATAAACTGGTTCTCTGAGAAAAAAGAATGTTTAGTTTATTTTGCGAAGTTTAAAGAAAATGCAATTTTAAAATTTAAGATGGCAGTTACGCCATCTGTTGATCATTTTTAGAACTTGAAAATATTTTCCAGCGATTCTTCATGACCGATTTACCCAATATTTTTTTTACCCCTGAGTCATACGACGAACGGTTCCCGAAATATGGCCACCCGGTACAGAGGAGTTTCCTTTTTGTCCCAGCACCTCTGCAAAGTGGATCTACTTCGAGACCCATATATTCGGTGTTATTCTGGAGGCTCTAGAAAATCTTTGAACATTGAGAAGTTTTTAATTATTGAAACAAAATTTTAATTTACTATTCCAGCCATCTTGATATTGAATTCTTTTCAAGAAACAATTTTGTTGTACGATGGCGGTATATCGAACTCCGAGCTAGGAGCACGAAGTTAATAAAAACTGTAGAGGGTGCCATCATTAAACGCTGTCAACAAAAAAATTGCGAGAGAGGTCCTACATTTTCCACAATCTTAATTAAAAGTTCAGTTCATTTAATTGAAATGTGAGGTTATGTAACTTCATATTTCATTTAGTCATTCCAGGGACAACTGTCGCATCTTCCATGGGTCGCTTTCTTTGGTACTGCCGATCCGCCACCTTATACACTCGATAGAGGAAGGGACAATCTTTCATGGGTCGCCTTTTTCGTATCGACCGCATTGTACACTCGATACAAAAAAAGGGCAACTGTAACATCTTTCATGGGCCGCCTATTTCGTATCAACCGCCTTTTTTCGTATCGACTTCTTTTGACGTATCGAGGCCGTTTTTCCGTATCGACCGCTTTTTCCGTATCAACCGCCAATTACCATCGACAGCCTTGCATTCTCGATAGGGGAAGGGCACAACTGTAACATTTTCCATGCACCGCATGTTCCGTATCAACCGCCTTTTTCGCCTCGACCGCTCTTTTCGTATCAATTGCTCATTACCATCCACCGCCTTATACATTCGATAGGGAAAGAAACAACTGTAGCATTTTTCATGGGTCGCCTTTTTTGTATCGACCGCCCGCCTTGTACACTCGCTAGAAGAAGGGACAACTGTAACACCTTCCATGGGCCTCCTATCGATTGCACTTGCCGTATCGACCGCTTTTTCCGTATCAACCGCCGATTATCATCCACAGCCATGTACACTCAATAGGAGAAGGGAAAACTGTCGCATCTTCAATGGGCCACCTTTTACCTATCGACCGCCGATTACCATCCACCGCCTTGTAAACTCGATAAGGACAGTTGTCGCCTCTTTCATGGATCGCCTTTTTCGTATCGACCGCCTTATACACTCGGTAGGGGAAGGGACAACTGTCGCATTTTCCCTGGGCCGCTTTTTTCATATCAATCTTCTTCAGATCGCGACATTAGGGTGATATCAGCCCTCGTGTCAAGTCCAGCACTTCTTGCCTGGGCGTCTAAGGAGTCCTTAAGTACAGTTTTTTTGTTTGCAGTACATTAAGAGTTGGGTTCAATTTTCAGCCGCAAACGAATATAGGTAAGAATAGCGGCTTGGGGTTGGCCGAGAATTTCAGATTTTTTATTCGGTAACAATGGAAAAGGGAAATATTTGAGGAGACGCGCAGATACCGTAATAGTGTACAGGTCGTCCACGACAATTTTGATCGCGATAGAAGCGAGGTTATTGTAAAAGTTAAAAAATTCGGTTATACGACAACAAATTATGTTTCGAACGTGCCGAAGGGCTTAATGTGGTTATAAAGGAACCCATATTTTAACATGTAAACGATGCGGACAGTAAGTCAATGGATCTTGATCATTGAGTAATGATGTGCATATTGTTTGTCACTTTTAAGGAATCTGACAGTACTGCAAGGTAATTTCTTTTCATTTAACATTCATTAAATGAATTAAATACACAATAGTTTGTACGCAGCCTTTTTAAATTCAGGAAACTTGCGTGTGGTCTAATTACCGCGGAGTAAATGCACAAATGTAGCCGCGGGGGGCGTGGTTTAAAGACATGACTTACTTAAAGTTAAGGTACATTCAATTTGTGTGTTGCGCTTTTCTATTATTAATTTAAATGTATCCCTTTGCGAAATTATGTGTCCGGCTAACGTCAATTAATATGAATTAAGGTTGTCCAAATATGCGAGCAGCTAACGTAAATTATATTAGCAAGCTTTCTTTTTGTCTGATTCTCTTTCTCTTCTCTCATGAACATAACTCGGAGTAACTCAAATTGTAAAAATTCTCTGATTACCAGAAGAACCTGATTGCGGAGGTCTGTTTCCATCACTCACAGATGTATTGTAATATTGTTATAAATCTTGTGTATTCGGAGAACATAATGTGCGTGCACTTAATGGTGACATTTTTCCAGAATACATTCAACCGATCTGTTTGCCTTTCCACAAGAAAATCCCTTCACTTGGCAGCACGGTTTATACGACGATCTGGGGTAAAATTCTCTTCGCATCCCTACCACGATCAAAAGAAACCGTGCCCTCCTCACTGAGCGCGAATCAATTTCTGATTACCTCAAGCACGTGGAGTAACTCAACTAATGACCTCTGCGATGCATACGTTGGCTCTCCGATCGAGTTTAAGCAGAATAACCAATCGTACCTTTTGGGAATACTCACGGTCAACTGCGAAGCGACTTACCTCAATATATTTAACTACCGAAGATGGATCGAGGGCAACGTGCAGTCAAACTATGGCAAGTGCTCGTAGAGGCGTGGAGGTTCTATTGTGGATTTAATTTTAGATGTTTGCACCACGCCGGAGAACGCGACACGTTGGTGTATCCCCTTGGACAACTGCCCCGTACTACTTCACGCGTTTGCTAATCCCAAAGAAAAATATGAGGACTATCTAGGCGGGTACATTTGCTCAAACGACCAACTCGGCGGATTTCAGGTCTGCTGTCCCACAAGCTTGGATTCAACCGAACTCCAGGCCGAGTCAACAGGTCTGAACGGCCTGTCGAACAAACAGTTCTGTGGCTATCAACATCGGGACGACTATTATTCGAACGACAGCAGCATTGCGTTAGATGAATTCCCGTGGTTAGCGACTGTGCGCGCTGTTAATCCGTTGACAAATGTCGAGTACATCGCGTGTTCGGGTTCGTTAATTAACAATCGATACGTTATCACATCGGCGCGATGCTTGAGTCGGCTACCGCAAACGTAAGTACTGCGCATGCGCATTCGGGCGCGTACAGCGCCATCATGTAAGAGATACGTAAACCATCCCGCGCATTGCATTTTGTAGAGCTTTAGTTCGACTTGGCGAGTATAACGTTTTAAACAAAACCGACTGCATGTTTCTAACGGAAATTGGTACCGAAGATTGTAGCGAGTACGAGGATTTTGGCATTGAAACGGCGGTAGTTCATCCGTTTTACGATCCATGGACTTACAAGAACGATATTGCACTCATAAGATTGAACGGCACAGTTTTATTTTCTGGTAAGTTACAGTTTCCTTCAGTTTGATTCCGCCCAAAGGCTCTTTTATGTCTAAGATTATTATCATTGCAACATTTTACTTTTTAGAAACCATCCGTCCGATATGTCTGCCGATACCGTCTCTATTTAAAATAGCAGATACGACCGACGAATTTTACTCGTCAAGCTTTACCTCGCCAAAGCTATGGGGAACGGATTACATGAAGAAGAAGCTGTACTTCTCGTTGACCGAGAATGAGGATTGCGAACATAAGCATCCATTAACCCGTTACCAAATGTGCCTGCGACCGAAAGCGATGCCGACCGATCGATTTCTGTCGTGTTACGATGACGAAGCCGCGCCGGCCATGATCTCGCACAGAGGCCAATGGACGTTGGAGGGAATTTCGACCGAGCGAAAATCGTTCTGCGATGCCTCCCAGCCTGTAGTTTTATCGAAAATATCTTCGTACCTACCGTGGCTGCGTGAAAATGTATTGCAAAATGTTTAAGTGACTCTTTTAAACAGTTCCATGTTAAAATCCTTTCGAATATTCAGATGGATTTTGTTTCCATTTTATTCAATTCTTGCAAATCTTCCTGATCCATTGTATTCTTCTGTACAAGCTCTTCAGTCGACTTCGAGCTATGATGAAATCGAACATGTCGTTCGTGACCGAAAAGTCGAGTGCTAACTTGATCTCCTTTGCACTTCCTTGCTCGTCTACTAAGTCGTGGAGGTAAGGGAAAAATCTATCAGTGGGGAAAGTAAACTAGCCCTTCTAAAATCTTCACACACTTCAAACCGAATAAAACGGATTAAAATGTTCAAAAACGTCAAGTCTTTTTGTTCCCTACAGACGAAAGATTATTTGCAATTGAAGGCCAACTAGAGTTTGGGGATGCAGTATAAAATAAAACCCATCGCGTTACGCCACTGGAGGGAGACGCTAATGTCCATGCGACTTGACACGTCCAAACCGGTACTTGAGCTACAGCCAGAGCTTTGTTTTAATCCAGCTTTAATAAAAAATGTTATTGTAATACACTTCTTGATAAATTATTGGTGCTAGATATGGACGGAAATGATGTCATACCACCCATTAAAATCGAACCAAAACAAGAAGAAGAAGAAATCCATCCTGATGTTCAAGAACGCATTTTAGTAAGCAACGAAGTATTGGTTACAGTAAAGGACGAAATTATTATTACTGCACAATGCTCCAAATCTCTCGGTAATGAAGAAATACAACAACAAACTGATTGTGGATGGAATGTTAAAACTGAAACTTCCAACGATTTTGAATGTGACTTCGACCAGCAGACAAAAAGTACGAGTAAGTTCCCAGTTAATAATCTTTTAAAGAAAAATGTTTCAGAAGGCTTTAGCTGTGGTCATTGTGATTACAAAACAAGTAACAAATACCACTTTAAACGGCACCTTTTAAAACATACCGAATCTAAAAATTTTAAATGCAGTAATTGTAATTACCAAACAAATGACAAATTCCACTTTAAACAACACCTTTTAATCCATAAAGTTCTTAAAGATTTTAAATGTGCTCATTGTGATTATGAGACAAATGACAAATACGGTTTTAAACGCCACCTTCTAAAACATACCGATTCTAAAGATTTTAAATGTGTTAATTGTGATTTTGAGACAAATAACAAATACTATTTTAAACAACACGTATTAAATCATACCGATTTTAAGGAATTTAAATGTGCTCATTGTCATTATGCAACAAGTAATAACCAATGTCTTAAACGGCATATTTTGAAACATATTGATCCTACAGGTTTTAAATGTGCTAATTGTGGTTTCGAGACAAATAACAAATACTACTTTAAGCAACACCTTTTAAATCATGCTGATTCTAAACATTTTAAATGTGCTCATTGTGCTTTTGAGACAAATAACAAATACTACTATAAACAACACCTTTTAAATCATACTGATTCTAAAGATTTTAAATGTGCTCATTGTGATTATGAGACAAAAGATGTACACGTTTTTAAACGACACCTTCCAAAACATACCGATTCTAAAGATTTTAAATGTGCTACTTGTGATTACGAAACAAATATCAAATACAACTTTACACGTCACCTTTTAAGTCATACTGATTCTAAAGATTTTAAATGTGCTAATTGTAATTACGCGACAAACAACAAATACCACTTTAAACGACACCTGTTAATTCATACCGATTCTAAAGATTTGAAATGTGCTAATTGTGATTATGAGACAAATATCAAATACCTCTTTAAACAACACCTTTTAAAACATACCAACTCTAAAGAGTTTAAATGTGGTAATTGTGAATACAAGACAAGTAACAAATACCACTTTAAACAACACCTTTTAAAACATACCGATTCGAAAGATCTTAATTGCGCTCATTGTGATTATGCAACAAATAAGAAAGAATGTCTTAAACGACATCTTTTGAGACATATCGTTACTGAAAGTTTTAAATGTGCTCATTGCAATTATGGAACAAATAATAAACAAAATCTTAAACGACACCTTTTGAGACATATCGTTACGGAAAGTTTTAAATGTGCTCATTGCGATTATGGAACAAATAATAAACAATGTCTTCAACGACATCTTTTGAAACATCGATACTAAAAATGTTAAATGTGTTCATTGTGAGTAGGGAACACATAAACAATACCGTAAAGGATGCCTTTAACATATCGATTCTTAAGGATTTAAATGTGTCCACTGTGATTACGAGACAAATAAAGAATACCACTTTAAACAACACTTTTTAACTCATGCCGATTCTAAAGCTCTTATATGTGCTAATTGTGTCTACAAGACAAGTAACAAATGCCACTTTAAAAACCACCTTTTAAATTATACCGATTCTATAGATTTTAAAGTGCGATTGTGATTACGAGACAAATAAAATACAACTTTCATTTGTTTATAATCACAACAGGTAACCCCAATAAATAAAGTATAGAATTAATAGCGTTTTCGATTAGCAAAACTTGTGCTGCACGAGTGTAATTTTTACGTTCTATTGGTAATTTTAGGGCAATTTTCTGTGTTCCATTGGCAAATGTGATGCAACAATTACGCACTCGGTGCAAATTTCGACGCACGAGGTCCGTGAGCTCGTGGAGCTGCAGCTGCTAGTTAACAAATTTTCAAAACAAACGTGCGACAATTTGAATTTGTTTCTTGCGTTGGGAGAGTTTTTTGTCGTCATCTAGCGATAGCGAAGATGATGAACTAGCCATAACTTCTATTTTACAAAAAGTTGCACTTACTCATTAAACTGAACGCCAAAAATTGGCCCTTTACAGGAATTTCAAATTTATACTCCTCATCGTTTATCATAAATAATACTGAAATCGTTTGTCATTTTTTAGAATAGAGAGTTGTCGATTACCTAAATCTAAAATGAGGTTATGGACAAATGACAACAAATATTTACGAATATGTTCCATTGAGAGCAATTTTCACATGGATTTCTTCAGTTTCTCGTGCAACACTCGTGCAGTACGAGTTTTGCCAATCGAAAACGCTATTAATTTGAATGTTTTTGTAATCAATTAGGGTTAGGTACCTGGTTTTTGAAAAGAGGGATACTAAATAACAACAGCCGGATTTACTGTTAGATAGGATGGAAATTTCCATTCCTGGGTGGGTTAGTTTTTCCGACTCGGGGGCGAAGAGGGTTTTTATTTGTTGAATGGAAGTTCGGCGCATTTTTGGAATGTGAAGAGGGGCACTTGCTTGCTGACTACCTTCGAGAGAGTTTCGTTCCCGTAGTTTACAATTCGAGAGTTCATATGAGGTGATGTAATTGGTTTTTGTTAATTCATTAATTGCATGTAATGTAAATTGTGTTCCCTCATATTTATAATATCGTTTTGCAATGTGTACTTCAAGCCGAATATTCACATAACTGCCAATTTTGTACATTGTTAGTAAGGGGATGCCTGGTGTTAAATATCTTGCCAAACTGTTATGGGGAAAACGACCGTCTAGCTGGGGAAGTTTCGGATTTGTGTTTATTATGTTAACTTGGAAGGCGACTATATGACTATTCAGATTCGTGTTCACAGTTGTTGAGTAGCTTAGTTGTAGAGTAGAAGCGTTGATTTTCTACGTGTGCAATGACCATTTATGAGAGGCCTCTAATCTTTCGACCGTGAGAAACTAGAGTCCATCGGCGAATCAAATTATAAAATTGCACAAGGAAACCACGAGGCAAGCGACTCTAGTTTCGAACCTTCAGCTTTAGGCAAGTTGTACTCGCAAACCCAGAGCAGTCTTGTTACCTGTTCCAGGGGTGGAACTATAATCAACAGTCTTCCGTTTCTGAAAGGGGTGTGTGACCGAGTTTGGGTATAATCGTGAGATAATTGACGCTTGAGAACACGAGTTTGGATGTCATTGCTATTTCATGATGTACCGACTAAGCCAGCTAGAAGAGTTTATTCCCCTGGTATTGTTCCAAATCCGTTGTTTCAATAATGACTATTTTATATCGCCGTAATAACTACTATTTACCAAGTACTGTTAAGAGTATTGTATTATATTTCAGGAAACCCCGTGGTAGCTTGTTTATTAACGTCAACCCCTTTAGCTTCTACAAACACGAGTCGAGGGTTTCTCTGGCAGAGGTCTTCCCTCGCACAGGCCTACTCGTTAGGGACTTCTGCATTTCCAAATTATTAGGGAATCTGTTTGGGTAGCAATAAATACTTTAGGCCGCATTTGACTGTTTCTTTTTCTTCCCGATAGCAACTCCCATTCCAAGTGTAAAGGTTACCACTTGACGATGAGTAAAATGTAGGGTCTCTGTCCTAGGCGATCCGATCACGAGCCACTTGTTCCGGCAGAGGAGAAGGCTGGACATGGTAGCCATATCCTTTTAGTATTTTCCCGCCGTATTTGAATTTCTGAGTGAAGTTAGTTGGCCCCTTAAGATCATTACAACTTTCATTAGGCTCATTTGATAGAGAAAGCGCCTTTGATCATAACTGCCGATTCTTATGTCACAACATGAATAATAGATCACTCTGTTCGGTATTTAATATGAATGAATAACTAGTAAGGTGACTTATATCAAGAAATGCATTTGCATTTTAAAACAAATAGTTCTTTTCAGAGCTCCTGCCAGTGCAACATTTTTCAAAGGTACGTAGTAAAAGTAAACACTACAAGGATTATATAACTCCAGTTTTTAGTTAGAATCGAAAATGGCTTTTACCCCAGAACATGATGCGCGCATTAATCATGCACTATCGTAGCGCAACACGTTTAGAAGGTGGTGTCGTGCAGAAGAGTTGTGCACAATTTCTACTACATTTGTATTAACAATATGTATCTACGGTTGCTGCTTTCACGCCAAATGAACTGTAGGCGGCCATGTTTTGGGTGCACAAGGCTTCACTTTACGATCCTTATTATCTCCTCTCTCTCTTACTTTTGATTGAGAAGTCTGATCGAAAAAGTACGAATTGTTTTGGATTCTACGCACCAAAATTAATAATAAAAAGTGTTTTCCCGAGAAATTTTGGTGCAGTCGATTTTTGGTAAAAAAGGAAGGTTAAGTATTCAAATACTATGCGAAGTATTTGAGTTTCGAATAAAAATACTGCTTCCATAAAAGTATTTAATTACAAAGTATTTTAATACTTCACCTGGTCGCCCAGTATCGCCCAAACAAAAATGCAAAGTGCTAAAGTGTTACGTAGAACTTCAGGGCTAACAATTTAAAAATCTGAGTGAGACTACTAATCCTCACTGAAAATGACTTAAAAAACTAGATTATAAACAAAATATTACTTGCGTTTATTTCCACTAACAATTTTTAAACAAATACTTGGCTTACCAAAATTATTGAAAACAAATCTACTGGATTCTTAAACACACGTGAGAAAATTTATAAGCAAATTTCAAATACCTTAAATTATTAAAATTAATTTATCCACAACAAATTCAAGGTTCATTAACCCTCAAGACTAAAATAAAACAATGACAAAGTCTTTGCTTTTTTCTTCTTAAAACTACCCCTCACTCTTTGGATGTCTCAACAAACAATTGCTATTTTCTACACTTAAAACAAATTTCATTTTAGGCGAGTATACGATAAATGAAGTAGTTTTTAATCTTTTTCTTCTGTAATGGAACAGTGCTTGACGAAAGAGAGAGCTTGTCACTAATTAGCAGTTCCATATATACTGAATTTGGAAACCCTCCCGACTGTACGATTATATAATAGAAGTGTCGGATTTCTTAATAAGTTGGACCCAAAAATGAAGAATTTTTTCGCACCAGAGTTTGGAGATACAGTATAAAATAAAACCCATTGGTCTGCCACTGGAAGTGAGACGTTATTCACCTGCAAGCTGACTCTTATTGTTACGGGTACTTGAGCTACAGCCAGAGTTTTGCCTACACCTACACCCCCTTCAGCTCGGTAAGAAATTGTTATTGTTTTTAAATATTTAAAACATAAGCAAACTTTATTTTTGTAATTTTAGCACATTTCTTGATATAGCGTTATTGATGCTAGATATGGACGGAAATTATGGCGTACCACTTATTAAAACCGAACCAAAACACGAAGAAGAAATCCATTCCGATCTTCAAGATAACATTTTAGTAAGAAACGAAGTATTCGTTACCATAAAGGATGAAATTACAACTACTGCACAGTGTTGCAAATCTTTCGATGATGAAGAAGTACAACAACAAACTGATTGTGCATGGAATATTAAGACTGAAATTTGCAATGATTTCGAACGTGACTTTGGTCAACACACAACAAATAGTAACCTGCAAGTTAAACAACAACTTTTAAAGCATCATTGTGATTATGAAACAAAGAACAAACTGCTTCAAGGGCACATTTTAACACACAGACGTAATGTGCTACAGTGTGCTCATTGTGATTACAAGACAAGTAACAAATACTACTTTAAACAACACATTTTAAATCATGCCGACTCTAAACATTTTAAATGTGCTCTATGTGATTATGGAACAAATAACAAATACCTCTTTAAACAACACATTTTAAAACATACCGATTCTAAAGATTTTAAATGCACTCATTGTGATTACCAGACAAATTACAAATACTACTTTAAACTTCACCTTTTAAATCATACCGATTCTAAAGAATTTAAATGTGCTCATTGTGATTATGCAACAAATAATAAACAAAGTTTTAAACGACACCTTTTGAAACATATCGATTCTAAAAATATTAAATGTGCTCATTGTGATTATCGAACAAATAATAGACGATATTTTGAACAACACCTTTTAAAACATACCGATTCTAAAAGGCTTAAATGTGCAGATTGTAATTTCGAGACTAATAACAAATACTACTTTAAAAAACACATTTTAAAACATACCGATTCTAAACCTTTCAAATGTGGTAATTGTGATTACGAGACAAGTTATAAAACCAGCTTTAAGGAACACCTTTTAAACCATACCGATTCCAAAGTTTTTATATGTACTAATTGTGATTATAAGACAAGTAACAAATACTGTTTTAAACAACACATTTTAAATCATACCGATTCTAAAAATTTCAAATGTGCTCATTGTGATTACAAAACAAATAACAAATACCTGTTTAAACAACATCTTTTAATACATAACGATTCCAAAGTTTTTAAATGTGATCATTGTGATTATGGAATAAACAATAAATACCGCTTTAAACAGCACCTTTTAAAACACACTGATTCTAAAGATTTTAAATGTGCTGAATGCGATTATGGAACAAATAATAAACGATACCTTAAAGGGCACGTGTTAACACACAAGCTTTCTAGTAATGTGCTAAAATGTGGTAATTGTGATTACGAGACAAATAACAAATACAATTTTAAACGACACCTTTTAAAACATAAAGATTCTGAAGGTTTTTAAATGTGCTCTGTCTTAAGGGCCGCACCCCATAAAGGTGAACCAAATTTTAGCTGCTTCAACTGTAACAAGCCTGGCCATCGTGCTCATGAGTGTAGGAAGACGAAGCGTGAAAAGGGAGTGCTTCAGTTGTGGATCGATGGATAAAGTAAATTCCTGTCCAACTGCGAAAATTAAATCTGAAAATACCACGACTCGCGTTTGTACGTCGTCCCGTACGTACATTGATCTAATTGTAATTAAAAACTTGATTAATTATGTTTATGTAGTCAATTACATTCTATTGATACATATCGCTGATATAGGCGTGACCCGCCAGATGTGTACGTCCATACTCTTATCTTATGCGTAGTTCGTTATTAGTTCAGAACTTTCATTCTCTACTTTTTGTCATGGATGAGCATGGTGTTACTAGAATCCTTAATATTTATATCTTGCTTGACACTGGTAGTGTTTCAAGTCTGACGCAAAGTTCTTTTGCTTCTCAAATTTGTTATTCTCCAGAATCACTTGCTGGGGTCCAATAAACATCTTAGGAGTACTATTAAAATTGATGATTTGTCCTTTGAAGGTACACGATGTCAATTTCGAAATGACGATTTCCCGTATAAGCCAGCCGGCTGAGAAATGCGAGTTAAGGCCGTATTAGTGCAATTATTGACGATGCAATTTTTATTGCAATCCTTGCAGCAACTATTGCTGCTATTATTGCAGCAATTATTGCAAAAAGATGCAATGATTACACTATGCAATTTATTTGGCAATTTTTTTATACCCAATTCTAATCATGTATTGGTGCCAATGAAAGTGGAATTGGCATCACTGGGAAATACTTGAAAGCAACTTCACGTCTGTTGTAGACCAGGAGCAGGAAACGTGTGTTTTGTGACGTTTCCTTTGTTGAAGGCCGTGCAATTTATTATTTATATTTGCACGCACTTATTCACACTCATGGCCGTTTCCACCGACAAATTTAAGTGGAGCTTAGTTTAAGCGTAGCTTAAAATCCATGGCAACGATTATTGAGACAATGGTTGCCATGGATTTTAAGGTACGCTTAAGCTAAGCCCGGCTTAAATATGTCGGTGTAAACGGCCATCAGGTTCGTTAAATTCATTGAGTAGGTTTAGGTTTCCCTTTGTGAAATCGTTATTGGCAAGCCACTGCCTGGTCCAAAAATGTCGTCGTCTTCTTTGTTTCTTTTTTTTAAAAGAGCAACAGCAGACGCAATAACTAAAGATGCGGCAGCAATATCCATTTTTGAATTCCTCGTAAATAGGTTATTTCAGTTTTAACTTTAAATAACAAACCTGTATATAGCATAAGGAGGTAATGTTCTCCAGTGCATACCACTTTATTTTTTTTATAAATTAAATGTTACTAAAATAGTTACTAAATTGCAAGAAAAATTGCAAGAAAAATAGCACAAGTTCTATAACCAGAAAATTGCAGAATGTCTTGCTGCAATATTTGGTGCAAGAAATTGCACGTGCAATTTTAACATACACGGAGCAATTTTTCGTGCAATTTCTTGCGGCAATGAATTGCTGCAAAAATTGCAATAAAAATTGCATCGTCTAATACGGCCTTTATAAAAAATAACCAGTTTCGAATTCTTGTCCATGGGCCAGATCGCATTCCCCTGGTGGCGCCCGAGTTTTGCGTCCCGTGCCGACAACTTCCATTTGAGTTGGAATTTTATTCTTGGATTTCGCTAATCATACCGTTTCATTTTAAAGCCAGCGATTTGCGGGGACTTTTGAGACACAGTGTATAATATAACCCATCGATACGCCACTGGTGTGGGCCGGTATGAACTTGCAAGTTTACCCTTATCGGTGCTTCTACTTGAGTTACAGCCAGAACTTTGTCTACGTGACAGCTAAATAGACTGTGAGCTGGTATTTTGTATCGAATTGTTTAGTATCAAAATATATTTTTATAAACAAAAATGTAATTATAATTGATTATTTATGCTAGATATGGACGGACCACTCGTAAAAATTGACCCAAGGCACGAAGAAGAAATTCATTCCGATCTTCAAGATAACATTTTAGTAACCAACGAAGTATTGCTGACGATAAAAGATGAAATTATCAATACTGCACAGTGCTCCAAATCGCTTGATGAAGTACAACAAACTGATTGTGGATGGAATATTAAAAATGAAATTTCCACACACACAAAAAATAGTAAGCTCAAAGTTAAACAACATCTTTTGAAGAATATTGTTTCAGGAGGGTTTAATTGTGGTCACTGTGATTATAGAACAAAGAATAAAATACTGCTTCAAAAGCATATTTTAAGACAGGGACATAACACGCTACAATGTGCTAATTGTGAATACAAGACCAGTAATAAATGTTACTTTAAACAACACATGTTAAAACACGATTCTAAAGATTTTAAATGTGGTAATTGTGATTATAAGACGAGTAACAAATATTATTTTAAACAACACTTTGTAAAACACACCAATTCTAAAGATTTTAAATGTGCTCATTGTGATTATGCAACTAATAATAAACAAAATCTCAAACGACACCTTGTGAAACACATCGAGTCCCAAATTTTGGAATGTGCTCTTTGTGATTATGGAACAAATAATAAACGATATCTTAAACGACACGTTTTAAGACATATGGCGTCTAAAGGGTTTAAATGTGCCAATTGTGATTATGAGACAAATAACAAATACTACCTTAAGCAACACATTTTAAAACATAGAGATTCTAAAGTCTTTAAATGTGCAAATTGTGATTTTGAGACAAATAAGAAACAGAACTTTAAACGACACCATTTAAATCATTCCGATTCTAAAGATTTTAAATGTCCTAATTGTGTTTACAAGACAGGGAATAAATACTACTTTAAACAACACGTTTTAAAACATACAGATTCTAAAAATTTTACATGCGCTACTTGTGATTACCAGACAAATTACAATTACTATTTTAAACGTCATGTTTTAAATCATACGATTTCAAACTGTTTTAAATGTGCAAATTGTGATTATGAGACACATAACAAATACTACTTCAAGCAACATCTTTTAAAACATGCCGTTTCTAAAGATTTTAAATGTGCTAATTGTGATTACAAGACGAGTAATAAATACCACTTTAAACAACACCTTTTAAAACACACTGATTCAAAAGATTTTAAATGTGCCAATTGTGATTACAAGACAAGTAACAAATACTACTTAAAACAACATCTTCTCACTCATACCGATTCTAAAGATTTTAAATGTCCTCATTGTCTTTATGGAACAAATAATAAACAGTATCTTAAACGACACCTCTTAAAACATATCGATTCTAAACATTTTAAATGTGCTCATTGTGATTATGGAACAAATAATAAACGATATCTTAAACGACACGTTTTAAAACATATGGATTCTAAACGTTTTAAATGTGTCAATTGTGATTTTGAGACAAATAACAAATACTACTTTAAACAACACCTTTTAAAACATTAACACAATAATTCCGTTGTGGGTGGTGGCTTATGTTTGTGAATGTGGATGTGTTATGATTAGTGTACCACGACACCAACGCTGTGCCTTTGTTTGACGTTAAAAGCAGACTTCATACTTACCACTTTTTCTAGTTTAAAACGTATTTGATTGTTTCATAATTTATTGCAGTTCTTTGAAACGGAGAAAAGGTGTATCACAATAGAAATAGGGGAACATACCATAAAAGTAAACAAAACTTACTCCGAGAGTTTAATTAATAAGGCTATAAAGTAATATTTTATATATAAAGATATAAAAATTTTATTCAATTGCGCGTTTTATACCTTAATAATAAAATCATACCTATGGTGTATCACAATAGAAATAGGGGACCATACCATAAAAGTAAACAAAACGTGCTCCGAGAGTTTAATTAATAAGGCTATAAGGTAATTTTTCATATATAAAAGATATATTTATAAACATTTTATTCAATTGCGCGTTTTATTCCTGAATAATAAAATCATACCTATTGTGTATCACAATAGAAATAGGGGAACATACCATAACAGTTAACAAAACTTGCTCCGAGAGTTTAATTAATAAGGCTATAGGGTAATATTTTATATATAAAGATATATTTATAAAAATTTTATTCAATTGCGTGTTTTATTCCTAAATAATAAAATCATACCTGTTTGTCAATTACACAGGGTGGTCCGAGACCACCCGTTTTATACTCCTGGGCTTAAAAAAATTTCCAATATTGGTAAGTTTGTGCAGGTCAACTTATTTCAACAAAATGCCTACTACAGTGTTTTTTTATACCTTCAAAACCACAAAACCAAATTCTTGGTGTGGTTTGTGTATGGAAATTTTGAAGCGCTTTAAAGACCAGTTATGCACGAGTTTCTTATAGGATTTTTTATTATACCTGCAATATAATTTAAATATAAGAGAAATAAAATAAGATCTTATCGACTTTCTACTCGAATACATTTGTGATTAAGTTAAAATGAATTTAATTGAAAATTTAGTGGTATGTTGCAGAAGCAGAAGAAAAGTCGCTACCTACAAACTCCAGTAAAGCAAAGAATATGGAAAGTCTTTGGAAATGGATGAATGAATTAAAGCCCTAGCGTCTCAAAGGTCCGACCTCGCAGTCATTTGAGTGTTCAAAACGGATATTGCGATTCAGGTATAATAAACAAAAAATTTCATTGGCGAGTTTTCGACACTAAAATATGAGATCACAAAAACAGCAGGTACATACTACACTTTACTCTATTTTGTTCTAATCTAGATCACCCACAATTAAAACAGCAGACAGGCATTTTATGTTAAAGCATCATGAGAACAAAAAATATGCATATACCCAATTACCATTGCCTCAACGCCATTTCTACTGGAAGGGTGAAAAGGAAAAACTTGTTGCCTATAGATTACACACTAATTGCTTATGACTAATAATAAATAGGAGTAGATTAGGTGTCGATAATTCTAGTATAACACTCAAAAAATTACTTCTACACCAAATAGGTACGAACACCCTCGTTCGGGCTTCAAATGAGAATGGCAGTGTCACACTCAACAACATCCAGTTCGCTGATGAGCAATTATACGTACAATTCTCTGTGTGTCGGGAGATGTCGTTTGATCGCGTATTTGGTCTTCGCCGTGTAATCGCACAGTTCACATTTGAAATCCTTGGAGGTCGTGTGCGTTAAAAGATGCATTCTCAAATTGTACTTGTTATTGGTCGCGTACCAGCACTGATGGCACTTTAAATCCTTCGAGGCCTTATGCACTAAGAGATGTCGATTGAGGTCGCGTTTGATATTTGTTGCATAATCGCATTGGACACATTTCAGTTCCTTCACGCTCTTGTGCGTTAACTTATGAATTTTAATGTAGGATTTCGAATTGGTCGCGTAATCGCACAGGTCACATTTCAAATCCTTGGACGTCTGATGCGTCAGCTGGTGCGCTCTGAAATTGGATCGATTGTTGGTCGCGTAATTGCAATGGTCGCATTCCAAGCCCTTATAATTTGTGTGCGATAACAGATGTGATTTAAAGTAGGATTTATTATTCGTTGTATATCCGCACTGTGCACATTTGAAATCCTTGGAAGTTTTGTGTATTAAAAGATGTTTTTTGAGATCGCCTTTAATGTTCGTTGCATGATCGCAGTGGGCACATTTTAAAGCCTTGAAAGTCCTATGTGTCAGCAGATGTGTTTTAAAACATGATTTATTACTCGTTGCGTATCCACACTGTGCGCATTTCAGATCTTTGGAAGCCGTATGAGCTACCACATGAGTTTTGAAATGGTACTTGTTATTGGTTGCATAACCACACTGGTTACATTTCAGATCCTTGGAAATCTTGTGGGTTAACAGATGCGATTTATAATTGGTCTTATTATTGGTTGCATAATTACAGTGTGCACATTTTAAATGCTGAGACGCTGTATGCTTTAACATATGCGTTTTGAAGTTGGATTTAATATTGGAAGTGTACTCACACTGCGTACACTTGAAATCCTTAAAAGTCTTGTGTACTCGGAGATGTTTTCTCAAGTCGGCTTTAATATTTGTCGCATAACTACAATGGGCACATTTTAAATCCTTGGTGGTTTTATGCGTTAACAGATGTATTGAAAAACACCTTTTATTACAGGTTGCGTAATGACATAGAGCACATTTAAAATTTGTGACGGCTTCGTGTGTCAGCAGGTGTGTTTTTAAATGATAACCGTTACTGGTTGCGTAATCACATTGGGTACATTTGAAGTCCTTTGAAACTTTGTGCGATAACACGTGGATGTTGAAATCAGTGTCATTGTCTGTTGCAAAATCGCACAGCACACATTTTAAAACGGTCGATATTTTGTGTGCCAATAGATGCAAGTCCAAATCAGAATTAACATCCGTTGTGTAATCACACTGGGCACATTTAGTCTCGCTTGTTTCAAAGTCTGTCGATATTTCCTTAGCATCGACATCTTCCTGCACGAATTCCTTTTTATCTTCCCAGTCCGCACCAATCGACAACGAGTACGTTTCTTGCTTTACCGTTGCATCGCTAGGGCAAACCTCGTCAACAAATTCCTTAGTTTCTTGCTCTTGTTTCGGTTCAACTTTGACATTGGCAAACATCGTTTAATGAACTACAAGAAAAGTATTAATTACATTTAAATTGGTTACTTAGAGTAAGAAATAAAGCTCTGAAGGTACGTACTCCAAAGGAACGTTCTTCAGGCATTTGCCACTTGGAACAAGGTATTCGTCCAAGAGAAAAGAAAAGGTGTCAAGTGTCAACTGTCAAGTCAATTTCGACTGTGGCTAACGAATAGGTAGGACGTGCGGTAGCCACCACAAAAGTTGTAATAAATACGTTTCTAATGAAAACACAACACAACATTCCCGTATGTTTTTCGGGAGTACGCTTCGTAATACTTTTGCGAAAAATGTCCCTTGATTTGACAGAGTACCCTGTACATACCCAGCGTGGTTCTTCTGATTCTTCGAATGTTCCATCCGATTTTTCATATCCTTTGGGGATTTTTTCGTTTTTTTTTAAATTTTAGCGATTCAGCAAGCAAAAAACAATGAACAGTGGCGTGCGTATTTTTCAATTTGTAGATTTGTTGCAAATGTTAATACTTTTTTGATACAATAAGTTGCTTTGACAAAATTAACAAAAGATTAACATTTTTCCAACGCAAATTAGTAAAATTATAAAATTAATTAACACAATTTTTTTTCCGCATGCGCTTTTGGTAAATAGATTATTGAATGCTATCTATAGTTAAGTGTAATCTAGCGTGTTGTGCTTGTGAATAAGTTGGTCTGTATCATGTCTAATCACAGTATAATTTATTTGTGTGGTTTTCAAGTATTATCTGTGGAGTGTATTTGTAATATGAGCTCACGAGCTTTATTCTTGATGTATGACTTTAGGTACTTGATTGTGTCGATGTTTGTATTCTGTTTGTGAAATTATTTATTACCAGACCATCCACATTTGTAAATGGTAAACCTTACATTCCTAATATGTATGTAAATGTTAGTTTTTTGTATCAAAATTACAACTGGTGGTTCATTTTCAAGGAAATATACGATTTTGTGATAAAAGTCAATTGAATTTAATATTTATAAATATTTCTTTATTTTTAAAAATGACCTTAAATACAATTAAGCAAATGCTGATATATAATAATTCTAATATCTACAGCTAAATGAGTTACATTCGTTACATTTTAAAGAAAACCTCGGAACGATAACTTTGCTTATTCCGCTAAAATTGTTTGGTTTTCGGGAATTCACGTAAATATCGAAAAATCTAGTTAGTATACGTCCATCTCATCAAGCCACACACTAAATAACTAATATTTAAGTTAAGGAGAAATGCGTTCCTTTGAAAACCGGTTTGTGTGCCTTAAAAGGTGGGTTTTAATACAGTATTTGTTATGTGTCTCAAAATCGCAATGAGCACATTTAAAATCTTTAGAAACTTTATGTTTTAAAAGGTGTCGTTTTAACCAGTATTTGTTGTTTGTCTCATAATAACAATTAGTACATTTAAAATCTTTAGAATCGGTATGTGTTAAAAGGTGCACTTTAAAGTAGTATTTTCTCTCAGTCGTGTAATCACAATGGGCACATTTAAAATCTTTAGAATTGGTATGTTTTAAAAGATGTCGTTTAAAGTAGCATTTATCATTTGTTTGGTAATCACAATTAGCACATTTAAAATCCTTAGAATCGATATGTTTTAAAAGGTGTCGTTGAAGATATTTTTCATTATTTGTTCCATAAGTGCAATGAGCACATTTAAAATCTTTTGAATTGATATGTGTTGAAAAGTGTCGTTTAAAGTGGTATTTAACATTTGTCTTGTAATCACAATTAGCACATTTAAAAGCTTTAGAAAGGTTATGTGTTAAAAGGTGCCGTTTGAGGCGATGATTAATATTTGTCTCGTAATCACAACGAGTACATTTAAATTCTTTAGAATCAGTATGAATTAAAAGATGTTGTTTAAGATAATGTTCATTATTTGTTCTATAATCACAATTGGCACATTTCAAATCTTTAGAAACTTTATGTGTTAAAAGGTGTCGTCTAAATTGGGATTTAATATTTGTCTTGTAATCACAAATAGTACATACAGAATTGCTATGTTTCAAAATGTGTCGTTTAAAGCGGTAGTTATGACTTGTCTTGTAATCACAATGAGCACAATGTATCTCATTACGTTTGTGTGTTACAATGTGCCGTTTAAGTAGGTCTTTACTCTTTGTTCCATAATTACAATGAGCACAATTAAAAATACGTTGTTTAACTTGCAGCTTACTATTTGTTCTGTGTGGACCGAAGACACGTTCAAAATCGTTGGGAGTTTGCTGTTGTACTTCTTCATTATCGAGCGATTTGGAACTGTGTGTTGTAATGTTAGTAATTTCGTCCTTTATTGCCTCGTTGCTTACTAAAATATGATCTTGAAAATCGGAATTGATTTCTTCTTCTTGTTTTGGTTCCATTTTAATGAGTGGTATGGCACCATTTTCGTCCATATCACGAATCAACAACGTTATCAAGAAAC